CTTTTTCCGGTGTGCGTTGTATCGTTAAATATGCCCACAAGTGACCACTTTGGGATATTGAACCAAGGAACAGCAGAAGTTGTTTCTTGCTGGTCCATTTTTGTCTCCCAGCTTGGCTTTACTGATTTACCTGTGAACTCACTGCTTGCTGGCTAATTCCACGTGTCCACTTTTTCATCTGTTCTTGTAATTCTGCTGCTTCCTGGACTTCATATTCATTGGGGTGACAAGTTGGCTGCTGGTCTTTGCCTTGTGCGCCCTCCACACCCCAGTGCTGCATTACAGAAAGCTGCATCTCTCCTACAGCACCCGAGAAGGCTTACTCGACTGAACATTAACACTGCTCAGTGAAAGAGGTATCAGCATTTGCAGTCTGCTGTCAGTGGAGAATGGGATGAGAACTCCACTTGCACGTGTGGTTATTGTTTATTCCCCTATTTTTACTGAGTTTCCAGGTCGATTACTCTTGACACAAAGCAAAATGCCTGGAGTTTGGCAATATCCACTCTGCAGCCCTGAAAGGAGCATATTCTTCAATATCAGAGCAGCTCTGCAGTAAATTGCCTCTTTATTTATTACAAGATTGCATACAGAGGAGATAACAGCAGAGCTAATGAGACCGTGCATATATATGAGTTACATTAGTAATTAGAAACAGCTAATTAACTCTGCTCCCTAATGAAATTAAATTCATGCAGTAAAAGACATTTACAATAAAGCCAATACAAAACCTAAGTGTATTGGTTTCTAATTCCTTCCCTATGGTCAATGGCAGAGAGGCTGAGCTGAGTCCACAAGTGGGATTTGTTCCAAGCAGATCTAAGTATGATGCTCAGTAAGTGGTGAGCAAAAGCACACAAAGCATATTCCCATAGACCAGTCCCACAACTTATTGTCTGCCATTCACTCCGTGAGCATCTCCTTAATATTGCTGTTAGGAGGCTCTGTTAGCTCCTGCCTTTGAGTGTGTCTTGGTTTTCCATCCACCAAGCTGAGCTGAGGCCACAAATACTTTAGCTCTTGCATGTCTTGAGCAATCAACTCCGTTCCATCATGACCCTGCAATACAACAGGGGCTCCAAAATATCAATATGCACTGCATACTGATAAGGTTAATTTGCCCCTGTGCTAAGCACTCCCTGTTCAGAGCAGAGCAGCTAGGAAACTGTTTCAGCTGGTGCCGCCTTCTTTCTTGGTACACTACACAGAAGAGTTTTAAATGCTCAACAGCATCTCTGGTGATGTTTGCATACTTAGACAGCAAATGTTGTCACATGGTCGTAGCCACCATGGCCAGTAGCCATATATGCTTTTTTTTGGTGATATCATATATGTCCTCAATGTTCACATAGTATTTGGGAGATTCCTCTTTTGTCTGACTTCTCTCAATCCACTGCTCAGTGTCCCCACATTGTAGAATTTCATGTGTAAAATGAGGGCAAGTAGTTTATTAGCAGGAATTTGCATATTTAAATGGGGAAAGTGTTGATACATTTAGAGTTAAAAAAACCCAGAAAGAGAGGGTTCTCCATACTTACCTTGTAATTAGATGGAATCCATGTCGTGACTTTGACTTGGGGTTTTGTTTTGTCTTCTTTATTTCAGCAATAGTTGCAGATTACTGTGCCTTTGGGATCATGTACTTGGAGCATTTCTTATTCTTTTTGTATAGTTCTTCTCTAAATTTAACTTCAAAGTCCTGAGGCATCTTCAGGAATCATTACTTAGCAAGTAGAGAAATCTGATTCAGCTCCCTCCTTTTAAGTACAACCGCTCTTGCACCAACTTTTGACTTACACTGAAGTCATTTTGCACAATTACCAAAATCTTCAGCCATTTCTCAAAATTACTCCCGGTTCCTTTCCAAAATGACAGAAAATGGTAGGCAGGTATTATGCAAAGTATCCAATCTCCAGCTTCTTGAACTTATTGGATTAAAAGACAACAGGAACAGATGGTTTATTTCCTTTTATTTCCCAAACCATTCAAAGCCACACAGTGGAGTGCAGATCAAACTGTGTATCATGTTCTCTAAAACAAGAACTCTTCTAAGGCTAACTTTACTTGTAAACTTTGCAGCTGTTTTTCATGTTTTGTTCCATTAGATTGATACCTGAAACACCCTTTTCCACTACAGCAATAGCCACAATAGTTCACATTTCGTGGAATCCTAGAAATCATCAGGCATTTCAGGTGATGACTGAGTAAGGAAGGCAGTTCAGTGCTGTATTAAAATGGCCACTGCTTTCTGAAATGTCTAACCCAGCCATTCTACATGGCTGAAACAGTCACTTCATGGGAGAACTACAATTTCCAACTTATTTTGTTGCTTTCTTCAAAATAGCCGCTTCCACAGTGTCATCATCATATATGCAGATTGCCTGCTCTTTGGGTTTAAACTTCTGAAGTCCAGTTTAGTGTAGAGACAGTTTTATCCTTGCAAGCTGAGTTTAACTTACAAACTGCTTTTCACTACTTCGTGACACTATTTCTAGGGTATAGACACATCTCATGTCTTGAGCAGATCCTGTTTCAGCTGCTTCTTCTGTAGCAGAAGCTGGGAACTGCAGTCTGCCTCCCTGTATGTGCTTTGCACCCGTTTGTGTTTCTCTGTGTGCAGCCCCCAGACTGATGAGGCTCTCCATCTCTCCACAGGCATGATTGAAGGCTGTCCATCACAGGGTTTTCCACCAATGCACATAGAATCTGTGCTGTCCTTTCTTTCTTCTCTTCTCCTGTGCTTTTGTAGCACCTGACTAGTGGAGTCTCTGTAAGGCCTCACATCTGCTAAGGAAAAGCATTGGGAAGACAAAGTCCTATCTGCTATTCCTACACATCTCTGTTAGAGGACATAGTGCCACCAGTAGTGTGTGTCTCCTCCTCATAGGCAGCTTGTTGTGTTTCTCTATGCTGCAGACCTCTAAACAAATGAGGGGCTGTGAGCTCTCTTCCATGAGTGTGCTTCCCTTGGAGTGCAGCCCCCACTGAGCACAGGTCTGGGTCTTGCTTCCCAGGTTCATGTGAAACATTTGGAGATGCTCTTACATTTCTGTGCTAGCATCTGGCTTGCCTCTTTTGCTGGCATTAGGCATGTGGCCCTTCCTAACCATGACCTGACCACCCCCATGGATGGGGCTGCCTGTGGATTCAATAGGTGAGCCCCAGATAACATTGACATCATTCACATCAATTTTTATTTAGAAGAAAGCCACTATCTAGTACTTTTGTGATGCTGTGGTGCAGGCTGTTGTGAGTGTGTACATTTCTACAAGAATTAAGCAAGGTGTGATTTTAGCACATTCCTGAACAAGCTTGGTTAAGCTGGATGGTCAGGAGGTGCTGCTTGTAAACATCTGGTTTAGCTTTTGAAAGTCCTGCCAAACTTTAGATGGAAAATCTTCATTTATAGGCATTTTTGCAGGAAGGACTTGCTCAGCTTCTTCAGCACATAGTCATTTTGTTTGTTAGCAACTGTATTATGACAGAAGAGTTATAATAGAGTGTTCCAAAGGTATGCAGTGCCTACAGAACACATCCAAAACCAACGAGGTTGTTGGAGGAGGAAACAAAAAGGTTGTGTCATTTTTCATCTTCTCTCCTGCCACAAGGAAAAACTGATTTGTTCATGTAGTTTTAAAACAAACCTGGATCAGAGCAGTTTATTGCTTTCTCAATGACACATAAGTGACTAGTAATGAACTATGTATTCAAGCTGACTTCTTCCATGCTATGGAAGTCCTTGTAGTTGGCTGGGTACTGTTGAACCTGGCTGGTAGTTGTCATCTTCCTCTTTACTGTGATCCTTTTGGGGCAAATGCCTTCTCAGGGAGCTTTTTCCCCAGCTCCACACACACTCCAGGCTCTCACATCTCTACCTTAACAGATGCTGTGATCCAGGCTGTTTGCCAAGGGTGGGCCGTGTGAGCACCCCCACATCCCACTTGTGTTATGAACTTCAGCGATTTCCAGCTTATGGTGTTATGTTATAGCATTACTCAGGCTTTGACCTGAAAATACTTCCTCATGATGAGACCTCCCGAGAGATACAGAGGAGGTTGAAACAGAATGGAAGACAGGGAAGAAAGACTGTAAAGGAGATCAGATCCTGTAAAGTAACCATCTTGGTGGGACCAAAAGCAATGAGCATAGCAGTAAGATTGTACAGGTACAGCAAGATCAACCAGCTGTTACTGGATTCCTGTCTGATGTGCAAGACATGGTGAAGGTGGAGTAGAGAGGAATGGAAAGACTCAGAGATATGAAAAGGTGGACTCCAACAGCACCACGAGGTAACACTGTCATAGGAAACAGACCAGCTGATAAGTGATCAAAATACCATCCCTCTGACTCCAGATGAAAAAATGTGACCTTATACAGATGTGAAGAAGAAGAAAGATACATGAGCCATTGCTCTCCTGGGTTATAGCACTTAGAGATTTATACTCCTTTTCTGGCATAGGTGTAAAGCAGCTGAGCTATGAAGGCCTGATTGTCTTTCACAGTTTTATTTTGATGACTTTCTCCTCTTCTTTGGTGGAATTCGATTTTGTGTTCAGAGACAGCAACTGACAACTCCTCACTGGGATAGAACCAGCTTTTTAGCTTTTCCCATCCCTCCAATGCAAGCAGTAGCATCTTATTGCCACCAATACAGGGTATTAAGTTTTTAGAACTGATTTCAAGCTAAAGATACTGTGAGTAATTAGTTATAAACTTCAGGCTTGCACAAAAGCAGCATAAAGTAATCGTTGTTCTTGGAGACCCAAAATAGTTGACATTTTAAGAGACAATTGCTGTTGAAATGATCTAAATAAAATGATCTTCACTATTAAATATATATATATATTTTAATGGAACAATTCTGTAAATAAAATACAGGCTTTTGCTTGAACTTACAGCACTCATTTCCATAGCAAAGTGTAATTTTTGGTGTTAGAGACATTTACTTAGTGTGGAAAAAAGAACAAAACTTTCCTGCTGCAGTGATGCCATCTCCAGAAGGTGATTTTGAGGAAATATTTTAAGAATTTACTGTTTATTGCTGGTTTCTTTTAAATAATTCACTTAGAAAGTTACGCTTGCCTGTACAGCGAAGGAAGAGACTTGCTCAGGAGGAATAGCACCTTCCCTGGTATTTTATGAGAGCTTGAGGAGAATAAAGAAGAAAAATATATATGGAAAATGATATCGATCTTTATGTTTCAAGAACTGCACTTTATTCCATAAACCCTTGCCTTTCTATTTGTGTTTCTACATACTTTGCAGATCTTCTTCAGTCTCCTCCTAGTGCCTTTGACTTTGCAAACCTGGATGTAAAAGCATTACAACAGAAGAGCCCATGCCCTTTCCTCCCTCTCCTCCAGGAGCATCCACAACTGACCAGGTAGCACCATGAGGACATCCCAGAGGTAACCTTCCAGCTAAGGCACTAGAGGCAGTTCACCCCATGATTTCAGGAGGCAAGTGCATAGAGCCCTTCATGAGCGTGTTGCTCTGTTTCCAGGGCCCAACCTGACACGGTCAGGAGGGGTTTGCCGTGCCTGTCAAACACCAGGCTCCCTGCAGGAGGTGGATGCTAGCAGCAAGGCAGCCTGCTGAGGAGCATGACCACCTTTTGCTTGAAGAGGCGGCTTCCACTCAGCACGAAGAAGAGCAGGTCCAGGCAGCTGAGGGCAGTCAGGCTCAGGAAAACTTCATTGTAGCTTTCTAACTGGTCAAAATCACTCATGTGCTGTATGTAGTAGGCCCTGAAGAGGTGATAGGGGAGGAAGCAGATGATGATGACGCAGATGAAAATCAGGTTTTTGACTTGGGCCCAGAACTCTTGGTGTGACCAGAGGGAGGTGGAAAGTCTTCTCGACACTTTTACCAGGATGAAAATCTGCAAAGCCAAGAGGATGCAGGTGATGCAAGCGACAGTTACGATAATGGCGTAGTTGAGGGCCTTCACGCTCCCCTGCTGTAGCTCTCTGTGGAACTTGAAGCATATTGTTTCATTGTATGAGCCTGAGCGTCCGTACTCAAAGCACAGGACCGGCACCACGAAAACCATGACAAAGACCCACACGGCAGCACTCGCCGCAATGGCGTGCAGCTTCCTGTAAAACTCCACCTTGTCCTTCCATTGGAAGAAGATGAGCCACCGGATCACCAGCGTGATCACATAGAACAGGAAGGTCAGGTACATGTGGATGTGCACCATTGCACTCACTACTTTGCAAAGTGTCATCTTGAATACCCACTTCTTGTTGACGTAGTAGTGCAGGCGGAAGGGCACCGTGAAGAGGAGGATGCTGTGCACGATGACCAGGTTAATGATGGCTGTGGTGGTCACAGACAGAGTGTTCATCTTGACCAGCACGAATGACATTGTGATGGACCCAATTCCACCCCCAGCAAAGGCAACTGAGTAGGCAGCAATCAGGATGGCACTCGTGGTGTTGGTGTGAGTGAAGGCAGAGGAGTCACTGCTGTTCCTGTTCTCTTCAATCATGTTCCTGAAATCTTCCTTGTATGTATGCTAGGAATGAAAGAATAAAAGACTGAGATAAGGTAGGATTGAGAGGGCCCATCTGAAAATCCAGCAGAGCTTTCCACCTGGATCTTCCTCAGTGGATAACCCTGGAATGTCACAGCTGGTACAAGCTGCAAGCAGTAGTTTTATCCAAACATCCTCCAGACTGGAGGAAAAATGGCTGAGAAGGCTGGGCAGGGAAGCTGCTCTAGTCCTTAAGACATTGCTAGCCATACCCTTGAAACCAAGCATGAGTTAGTAATGTGTAGGGAAAAGAGATCCTCAGAGAAATGACATGACTGTGGTGGGTTTGATCTCTGTGTGTTGTTAGTTCTCTCTTCTGAGCATCTGCGTGTTTTAAATATCTAATCTAAACTGATCTCAGATTTTTCTGCTACTCATTCATCAGTTTGTTTATTTGCAGCACAAATCTGCCCTTCCCAGAGCCAGATAATAACCATATGTTGCTCTATCAAAGCTACAGATTCTATGTTGCTGAGAGCTGAGTTTTGCACACGTTGGCAGTCAACTCCTTCTCCATGGGCAGTTTATGAGCAGGGGATTAAACACCATGGACACCCCATGCTCCATGGCCATCCTGCTCAGATCCTGCCAGACTGAGTAGCATGGGCTGTGCTATCCTGGTGCTCAGGGACATTTCACATCTCATATGTGGTAATTGGGTGTTACAAAATGTGCTGTTAGAAAACGTTAGGAAAGGACATCCTGGGTTAGTGCAAATAAGCCTGCCTGCCCCGAGCCAGGGCTAGATGAGAGTAGGTAGCAACTTTAGTAACTGTGCTATATGTTTTTCATCTATCACTGCTTCAAAGAGGTATTAGATGTGATATCATTCTAAATGTAACTTCTGGTAGGATTTTGGGGGACTACAAGATCCTGTAGGAGGGGAATGTTCAGGAAGGGTGTTATCCTGAAGCATGTTTGCATCTGTGAAATCATCAAGAGAATGTTCACACTAGAGTCATGGAAAAGAAGCAGGGACAACTGAACAGTGCTGTGTTCTGTACTGTGCAGTTACACTGCTGCTGCTACCTGAACTGCAATTTCAAACTGACTCCGTATGTCATCCACTTCACTGGTGAATCCCACAGCACAAGAGGGGTTTTCTCCTGAGTGAGGTTCTGCAGTCCTGCTTTTAACGCTGCAGTGTTGTTGACTTCACGGAGTGGTTCCTCTCTCTATCTCTAAGTGTGGTCTTTTGGCTTACTTTGATTTTTAGGTGGCACATCCTGCCACACGTTGGGAGGGGAAAAAGGTTCTTTAACAGTTCTCCCTTCTGTGGAAAAGAGGAAATGCCCGGAACAGGTTTATAAACCAGCTTTGATCGCAGCAGAGTGGTTGTGCACAACTCCAGCTTCCAGGCATCGCACGGGCTGGTTCTGCCTTCAGATTTAAAACCCCCTGTTAAATTTTGCCTTTCCCTATAGATGCCCGAGATAAGTAGCAATAAGAGACCGAAGATACTTGTTTTCTCTCCATCCCAGTCATACGTGTAGCTCCTCACTGAGCTGCCTCCATCAGCACTGTGCTCCTATTTGGTTCTTAGATGCTTTTGGCAGTGGTAAAATTGATGTTGCTATTTTGCACCTGACTTATCAACCCAGATCAGCCTGTCAGTGGATTGCTCCCTTCATTGCTTCCTATATTCATCGGTCACCATTATGTTATATCAATATTATATCAGCTTATTAAAAAACCCCTCATTTGTCAAAACCAATGACACTGCTGCCATCCCTGCCAAGCAGTGAGCTCTGCACAACAAGCATCTGCAAAATATATCCCAGTATACCTCTGCTGAGGGACTGGTGGTCTTCACAGGGTTCTTTGTGTGTTCCAACAGTTGGGGTCTGCAGAAGCAGCGTTTGCAGCCTGCGTGCACCCAACTGAGATGTTTCGTAGGAATTTGGAGGGGAAAAGAAGTTCAACTCAAATGAAGGATTTCTATTTTTGACAGTTTTAATACAATAGAAAAATGAGGGTTTGTCAGGACTGACGTTTCTGCATCCAACTACACTGGGTTGGAGGCAGTACCAAATAACAATGCTTGTTTCAAACGTGCATTGTTTTCACAGACCTCCCTGTTTAGTCTCAGAGATGCTTCCTTTTGAGGGCATTGTAATTGCTTTCTATTTGCTCTAATCCCATGCTGTGTTATGGTAATGGAGGCTATGTCACTGGATTAACTGCAGAATTTGCATTTAAACAACCCAACAACCCACACATCTGATATCTGGAGCACAAACCTCTGCTCAGAGGAAAACATTACAAATTACAGATATGAAATACCATGTGTTGACTGTGTTGACAATATTGACGTTTTCAAGCAGCTTTTAGTGATACCTCTATTCATTCTCTAGCGCATTGCCTCACGTCTTGCAGGCTGTGTCATCACTGTACTGACACTTTTTAGTTTAATTCCAATCTATTGAGGAACAAATAGGATGGAAAGACATGTGCAGTTGGTTTTCTTTGGTTTGAGGTCTTGGCTGTTTTCACACAAGGATGAAAACTATGGAACCTTCCTAGCAATCATTATTTACTGCCCTAGCTATAAGTTATCAACGAGGACAAACTTACCCTTCTGGTCTTGACAGAGATTAGATAGCATCAAACACACACACAAAGATGGATGTAAACAAAAGCAGTTGCCTCCCAATTTTAGGAGGCAGTGCAGAACTAGAGGATAGCAATAGGAAAAAGGATGAAGCAATGTTTTCCCGTACCAGGAAGTTACAAATACCAGTGATGAAAACAGAACAGCTTTAAAATGTGTTAGAAATAAAACAACCGGACAACTGGATGCTTGCTTTTTCTCAAGTTGCAAACATGGTTTTAAAACCCTTACAAGCCAAGGGGCTTGTTCATTCTGTGTGTACTTACAGATTAGAGTTTCTCTTCACTCTTCAGGTGTTTTTGACTTGGCTCTTCATTTTATGGAGGCTCTAAGAACAAAAAGCAAAACACCTGATATTTTAAGGAGTCATTTCTTTCTTTGAACCTATGGCAAAGCAACAACCATGAGCATTAGCTATGGCAGCATAGGGCTGCCCATAAGCACACAGCCTCAGGAAGATTTCTGATTGCATCACAGGATCCCCTGATCTGCAGCCATTTCTTAGCTATAGGAGGTCTTGAAAGCCTCCCATTTCCAAACACTTGCATTCTTCTACTGCCTGAAATGATCAAGATACAAAGACACTTGTAAAGGTCATTCCCCAGAATGGAGGGGATCATTTAAAAGTGTTTTGAGAAAACTGGGTAAGACAGGAGCAAAATACGTCTGCTGTAACTGACTGTGGGTTTGGATAAGGTTAAAAGTGTAAGGGACGAAACAAAGCTCACCCTAAAGCCCAGCACTGTGTCTCAGCCCTGCTTTCTGCCAGGACTGTAGCTCAGCATCCAGCTCTCAGGACTCAGAGCCATTGCTACACCATTGCATGGTGCTGGCAAGATGGAACCAGGAGGTTTGAGTAGGAAAGCCCCATTAGCCATGTCGGTAACCAAGGCTCAGCATCAGTGATGGTTGCCATGTGGTGTGTGTGGTAAATGCTGTCTGACCATGCAGGACTGAGTCTGTGCTAGGTCACTTTTGCCCTCCTGCACCTTAACTCCTTCCTGTCCGAACACAGTTGAGTATCATAGTTTTGAAGGTGATGGTATTAACATTCACCATTTACGTATAGCCTTATGTAAGAATATTTTAACTGACTACATCCTGTTGCCTCACATTTGGTTAAAGAAACACAAGGCACATACTGTGCTGTGGCTCTTCGCAACACGCTGGTATGTGATGGGTTGTCTTTGCATTTTGCAATGTTAACAGTAGCTGACAGCTAAAGCACTGGGCAGATAACACTAAAAAGTGATCACAATAGTAATATCTATCTCTTACCTAGTATCTTTCTGCAGTTGATCTTAAACCTCTGCTACAAGGCAAACATGCCACTCTCCCCATGCTACAGCTGAAAAGCTGAAGCCTCTGCGGCAAAGACAGGTATAAAGCTAAGGTATCCTTAAGTCCTGTACCTTCTCCAGTTAGTCATGTTGTCTTGGCAGTAAATAGTTTGAGTAACTTTTATCTGCTACCACCAAAATTGTACTTTTGACTCATATTTCTAACGTGCCTTACTATTTCATGCACCTGAATAGAAAGATATTCATTATCTACAAGAGGAAAAATGTTCAGCATCAGTTACAGCCACAAACATTGTGTAGATAAGATAATAGGTTTCTTAAAATGTCTCTGTCTGGGTTCTGAAGCAGTTGTGATTTGGGGCTGTCCCCCAGGTGGTGCAAGGCATCCTATGTGTGAGAAACACTGCTTGTGGCACAGCTGAAAGACGTTTTGGAGAAGTATAGGGAGGAAAATGTGACCTGCAATTCCTTGTTTCACATGTCTTTGCACAGCAGAGATATCAACTAAAAAAGCAGAAATAGATCTGCAGGTATATCCATTTAACTAATATAGGGGAAAAAAATACCCACTTTGCAAGTTACTGTCCCCAGGCATTATTACTCAGAAGTACCTGAGGCAGAGTGCTGTGGAGGAAGGCTGTTTCCCCTTCAGTCTGATCTCACCACCTTTCCCTCTTTGAGAAGCACCAAAATCGCACCTCATTCCACACTGAAGTAGGGCACATCAATAAAACCACCTCAGATTTCCATTCAGCTCTTGCAATAATCCAGAGCTTTCAACAGAGAAGTGCTATAAACAAACCCAAACCTCAACCCACAGTAAAACCCTCTCCACTTCTTCCTTATTAACGTGGGGAGGAGGAAGCATAAATCTAACACAAACAATTCACCCAGCTTTCCCCATGCCTACTTCTGGTTTCTACCGACACTCCGCTTTGGCCTCAGTGTTTGTCACTGAGGACAGGAGGAGCGCTTAGAACCATGTACAAAAGGCATCTGTGCAAACTCCGGTCTGAATGGACCTTTCTGAGAAGGTGTCTTTTTAACAACTGCACACTTCCAGCAGTCACCAAGTTGAATGTTACCTTGTTGTGCAGGATTTCACTCGTTCGCATCTGCCGCATGCAGGGAGGCTGCTCAGGATGCGCCTTTCATCAGGAATCCAGCACGGCAATTCACTCCTTATTAGAGCTTGTTCTCACTAGGATAAAAAAATGGAGGGGGGGGGGGAGCTGACTGACAAGGAGATGCATTACTCCTGCCATAAGGATGACATTAGACTGCAGAGAATGAAATCATAGATGCAGAACCATACCGATCCCATATGCATACATGCCTTTCTGAGAAGAAAAAGCCCTTCCCTTCACCTTGAAAAGTCAGTGCTCATCCTAAAATTCGTTTGAACTCTGGGCTAGCCTCTCACTAATTGCCTGCTGAGGCAGGCTGCATATTGTAAGGAAGAATATTGTATGTAATATATTAAACCTATTGCTACTCTATATAAACCTATTGCTACTCACCCTCAACATGCTTACTGCAACGGCTAATACCGTTTTATTCCCAGACTGTTTATTCCATTTGGTTGCTGACTGCAGAGATGATACAAACGCTACCATTAGGTGTGTGGGAAAAATCATTTTACTGATGACCACCTTCATGCTGAATATACACATACAGATACTGATGAAATTCAGTATGCTAAAATGTGCTGCCTGTGTTGGCAAAGGGACAAACCTCCCTGCATTAGGTTGAGTGTCTGCCTGGGAGCAGCACAGAAAGCAAAGTAAAGTAATACCTGCGCTGCTAGATGGATAATGAACATACCTCATGTACTAAATATCAAAGAGACCTATTGACTGTGTCAAATGCCCTGTTGAAATCAAGGTAGATGATGTCTACAGTGCTCTCCTCATCCACTGAGCAAATTGTTTCGTCATGGAAGGCATCACAGAATGGCTGATAAAGTGGTTGCTGGTTTTGGCTGCGAGAGAGTTAGTTTTCCTCCCAGCAGCTGGTGCAGGGCTGTGGTTTGGCTTTAGTCTGAGAGCAACGTTGATAACACACTGATGGTTCAGTTGTTGCCAGGTAGCACTTGCTTGAAATCAAGAACATTTTAGTTTCTCATGTCCTGACGTGAGTACTGTGATACTGTGACACTGTGACAGTGGCAGATGCACAAGAAGCCAGGAGGGAGCAGAGACAGAACACCTGACCCAGACCAGCCAAAGGGGTATTCCAAACCATGGCACGTAATTCCGCGCTGCAGAAGCTGGAGGGGATTGGTCAGGAGGTGCTGACCACTGCTCAGGGACAGGCTGGGCATGGCTCAGCAGGTAGTGAGCAATTGTACTGTGCATCACTTGCATTTCTATTCCTGATACCTGTGTCACACTAAGGCTAAGCAGCACCTCCACTTATTGCTGGGACATGAAACTTAGGGAGGTCCATCTGCAGCGTCCATGTGCAGCAGTCTGTGCTACAAGAGGGTCCTCTGCCTCAACCCTGATATATATCATATGCAACATCTGCATCCTGTTTTTTCTCTTCAAGTCCCTCTACAGCCCTAGCCTTATTTTTTTAAGGGGGCTACTGCCAGTTTTAGAATGAGAATTATGAACTTCTGTTCCCAAAGACACCTCTTAAGGTAAGGATAAAAGATAAGGTAAGGATACTTACTGAGGGTCAGCTAGATGTCATAACAATGTTATCATTATGTGAATCTATACATAACAGTAACAGGGCTCCAGATATTTTATCCAGTTATTGGCATTGCTGGCTTTTCCACTTACAAAATGGTGAACAGAATCTTCTCAGACTCCAGCTGCTTCTGACAATCTACTTGAAAGGCCTGTTGCTTTACATACCAAAATGTAGTGCAACCCTATAGCATATAATCATGCAATCAAATCATATAATCAAAGCAAGGCAAAAGAGACCTCACTCTTTCAGCTGCTCTGAGCATCACTTTCAAATAATATGTGATCTGTGCAGTAGTTCTCTTAGAAAGATGAGTCTGTGTTTGGCTCATCACCTGAAGAGCAGTAAATACTTGATGTACTCAAAGAAGTGATGCCTTTCCATGGGTGCTAAGAACACTGGGGTGGTTTCAGCTCTCACATAGTAAGATGTTCCTGCACAGCAGCAAGTGCATGGAGAGTTATTGTGGAGTGTCTGTTTTTCCCCTGCTCCAAGTTGTTTGCGTGTTCCAGCTGATGGTGCTGTCTCGAAGATGAGAACTGCAGTTTGCAGGGGAAGGTGAACAATCAAGTCTGCTACTTTCTGTCCTCTCAGCAGCAGGGACATGGTGCTGTGGGTTCACAACAGGGGCAGGAAAACGCTGCCACTGCTGCTACAGAGATACAGACAACAAACCTGGTGCATGATCTAAATGATTCTATGATTGTGCAGCAAAGCTTCAGAGTCCAGGCAGAACACCACTGACGAGTTACCCAAATGATGTATGCATAGAGCAGCCTATGTCTGGTGACACAGGTCACTTTTGTTGGTGTACCTTCTGACCACTCACTTTCTCCTGACCTCCAGCCACTGCTCTGTCTTGCCTGACTTACCTGTACTGTTCAGCTCATATTATTCTTTCTCTTCATCACTGGGAAAGGAACTGAGCTGCTTGCTCTGGCCAATGAAGGAAAGCTCTGCAGCACCAATACAATAACCCCCTCCCCATCACCCAGGATTCTTTTGTTGCCTTCCCAATGGCCTCCTGTACATGCTGAGCAACAGGAGAACAGGGCTGTAAAATTCACTATCGGATCAGACAACCAGTGGCTAAGCCAAAGCTCCTTAAGAAGGGGACACTAAACCTTTAACCATCCCTCCTTGCTGAGCTTTGCAAGTGTCTGAGAGCCTCAGAGGTGGTGTCTGAAAGCACAGAAGTGAAGGCAGAGCTGGCAACCCTCTGACTGTCACAAGGACTTTTGATCCTCAGCATCTGGGTGGTTTTGAAAACCTTAGTGATGAGAGAGTGTCAAAGCCTATGAGGAAGTGAGCAGAAGGACCATGGAAATCCTCTTCGTTTCAAGACAAAGAACGCTGCTCTTGTCTCTCTGGTTCACATTTTCTTTTAATACCTTCATTTTCAGCAAGCGTGGATGCTGCTGTAAAAGGAGCCCAGGTGCACTTCCTGCAACACTGGCTCCTCAAATACACTTTAAATCACCTTCTCCTTTGCTTCCACAGCTTTCACAAAATCTGACATTCACAACTGCTGCAGCAGACTGAAAACCTGAAGCGCTTTTAACCTCCATCCTGCAGTGTTTCCTCCCAGCTTTGCTTGGAGCTTCCCTCCCACCAAGAACTGCTAAGCTCCCTCCAGACCTGCAGCCTTCTCATTGGAGTTTATCTCCCTCCTCGCCTCTGAAGTGACAGGTAAAATACACCCCTCTGCCTGCCTGCCTGCAGTACATCTGCTGGGTACCACTTACCTGGGGGCTCTCCAGCAGCACAGCAGGACACTCGCATCGCTCTGTGCAGCTCCCCAGTGCTGCAGTGAAGAGCTGCTGAGGAACTGCAGCACAGCTCCGTGTCCTTCCTGGTTATCACCCCCTGCACATAAACCACAAACAGCTGACAAATGTCATGGGACCATGTGGAGGTGTTGGGGGTTTTATGCGCTCCTGTTCAACATGTATGAAATACTCCCTGTTATTGCTAATTGCATCTGCTTGTAAGGAGTTGCAAGAAAGAAAGAGGACTAACGGACTGAAAGCACTATTGACAGTATGTGTTATAGTCACTTACAGAGTCACAGAATGGTTTGGGTTGGAAGGGACCTTAAAGATCATCTAGTTCCAACCCCCTGCCATGGTGGATATATACACCCAAGTATTCCTTTCCTGTAGTAAGGTCACTCAGCCGCTCAGTTAACACCTGAAAGGTGAATATATTGCCCTAGGAGCCCTCAAAGGAACTTTCCTTATGATGCAATGGTAAACTACATGTAGTAATCCTGAAGCAGGGCAGCCCTGGGGACTGAATGTTTTCTGGTGCTTCTGAGATGCTTGCCTCATTATCAAATGGTAGTCTTCCAAAGAGGTGTGAGGACCTGCTCTGCGGGTGCTTTTTGTATGCTACAGTCTCTTTATAAATTACAAGTATTGACTCAGTGTTTTTATAAATGAAGAGAATAAGGCATGTGGAAAGAAGAAAGTTTTGGCAGGGATTTGCTATGAGATTATCATGATCCTGTTCATTATACACTATTATTCTTAATTGCACCCAATTTATGTATCAGCTACCAGAAATCTGGCAGAACCGCACAAGGACAGCACAAAGGGTGCTGCTGTTCCCTCACCCCCTTTGATTTCCAGGGGTTGCTCTCTATCAGTGGTGCAGCAGAATAGCTGCAAACCTGGCCATGCAAGAAGCAGCAGGACAAACTCCTTTCTCTTCAAAACCTCGAAGAACATTCCCTGGAGTGTCAGCATGAATAATGAAAGTGCTCAGAATAAGGACATTCTTTCTTCAAAACTAAGGGGATATGTTTGGGGACTTTCAAATCCAAAAGATCATTAAATGTTCTTTTCTATCCCTATGTTAAGATTCTACAAGATTAAAGCCAATAGTGCAGAAAATATAATGCTGTCCCTGGCAATGTCCAGCTGCTCTTTTTAGGGTTTAATAAGGAAACTATTGCTTCCATTACTGGTTGAGCTTGGAAAATACTCTTGTAACTTACCAGCTCAGTATAAAAAAGACACAGAAATATCTTTTATCAAACAGAAAGTACAGAAATATTTTCATCTGTACCTAAATGAAAAACTAAGAAACAGCGTTGAATTGGTCTCAACTGTGTAATAGCCCACTAGTCCTGCATTACATGTGATGAAGGTAAGGCAGGAAAGACTTCAGATGATTTCTTCAAAGCAAGTCTGCTCCTGAATTGGAATTAGATTACTTTTCTTCTGGTGTCATGTCTTCTGCTTTAACCTGTAAGCTGTATTTTGCCTTTCAGCACCAGTCAGAGGGCTTTCAGAACTGAACTTTTCCCATTAACCTGTGAAATCCAGTAACCTCACTGTCACCTCAAGCTTAAAAGCAGCTATAAGGTTTTATGGAGCTGCTCATCCTCAGCACTTATATAGAGCATTAAATATCCCTGAGATTTGCTTCTTGGAAGAGTAAAGTTTGCACTTTCCCTGACATTGTGGCTGTACCATGGCTCTTAAAGACTGACCTACTTGCACAGCCCTAGGTCTGGGAGCAGCCAATGGTGGCAGTGGCCACTGTTGACACTAGGCGTGGAACATCCCTCCCTGCCATGCCTACTGCTTGCATCACAAGGGCTGGCAGCCCTGTACAGCATCTCTTGAGGCTGGATCCCTGCAGGCACAGACACATCTATGCCCCTGCCAGTGAAAAACATCCGTCAGGTAGGCACTAAAAGATACAGCAATAAGCCAACAGCTACTGCTCTCCTGCTTGATTTTGGGGGTAATTTGTCCTGATGGCTTGACCATGCCCATCAATAAATCACACCAGCAACCTGAAAGCCTTCAGCTGCCTCTATAATCTTTGTAAGAGAAGACTGCCTGATTCATGCCAACACTTCCAGAGAAAAGCAACAGAACTTTACAAAGTTTCCCACAGAACCATGGAAAGAGGGAAGAATATTTAAGCAAATATGCAGTCAATATGGCATTTAGTTGGCATGGCTTTTCTCTTCTATTTGCTGGCCAGTTCTTTCCTCTTGTGTACAAATAAGCTCTTACAACATAGCAAGGTGAAGATTAAGGATGAGGGTAGTGATGGAGCAAAATGGGACAGGGAAAGGGTGTGAGGGCAGGTGTGAAGACAAAGTCACCATCACCAGAAGAGCAGCAGACTCCACTTCCTGACCATGGGTTTGTCTTTCATTCCCTTTTTCCTGCTCCTCCTCAGTCTTTTTCTTACTCTTCCAGATGGGAAATAGTTGACTTTTTTCTTTTTCAGCTCCATAATTGCAGTCTTTGAAGGGTCAGAAGCTGTGAGAGGATGAAATAGCAAACAACCTTTGCTTCTGCTATTGTGGTGGCTAGTTTTGGGAACAAGTTTGCCTATGAGCAGACAGAACTTGTTTTGAGGCCACAGTCTATATTCTGCATTCTACACTTGGGTTTTCCAGTGTAGTTTATCAGTGAAATTGGGGTCAAAGTCTTTGGTCAAGAGAGGAGGGCGAAGCAGCTCAGACACAAGCAAGGCAGCTCCTTTGCTGCAGAAGTGTGTGAAAGTAAACTGGAAACACAAGGAACTCCAACGCTTTCTGTGCTGGAGTCACTTTTTGTCTGCCCCTCTCCTGGAGCAAACAGAGAAGTCTTGGTTTGCTGGGAAGGTTCCCAGCCTTAAGCAATGGGCCATGCCTTCGGGAGCTGTCTGAGGTGAAAAGCTAATCCAAGGCATAAGAACATAGCTATTTTAATCCCAGTTCAGATGCTGAGATGCTGGCATGTTGTTGTCATGGTTGCCAAACCCAGCTTTAAAAAAATGACAGATAGAGGAAAATCAAGGCTTTCCAAACACACGGAAGAAAGCTGAAGTACTTCAAGCACTGTGCTTGCTAAAAACAAGATGCAGAGATCCCTTATCTGAGCATTCATCCTTCTTTGAGCAAACAGACTAGGAAAAAACAGGGGATTTCATAAAAATACCATTGAATCAACCATGAAATTGCACTCTGAATGCAGAGCAATGATGAAATCAGAGGTAGGGGTTTTTACCCATTTTATCTTTTACAAGCAAAAAAATCTCTGTATAAAATATAAATGGCCATTCAGCTGCCCAAATAGGACAGGCATCTGTAGCACAGAATAGTCTTGTTCCAGTGAGGCTTTCTGCATCTGGACACCACAAGCCTTCTTCTGGAGGACAGGATAAGCACCTTGTGAGCAGTGTGAGCAGTGTGAGCAGTGTGAGCAGTACCCCAATACCTGCAGAGGGTGAAGTGCATGGTCTGTGAAGAGCCAGTGATGTCTCAAAGAAAGAAAACAGCCATAACACATGAAGGAGCACAGGCAGATAAAAGAAATAAGAAATAAAGGCCTGAAGTCAGGAATATGGCACCAGCGAGACTGCAAAATCAGGCACTCGGGGAATGAGGACATTAGAGCAGAACAAACCCAACTCTGTCCAGGTTTTCCTCAAAGCCAGTTTCCTCCATTCAGGAGACAGCGTTTCCAGTTTGCCAAGTCCTGGGAGGATGGAGAAAGGGAGAGGGCTGGCACTACAGCCGCCAGCAAGCTGCTAGGGTTAACCAGACACATCTGGGATGCTCTGCCTGAAGGCTGAGCCTCCCTTGTTTGCCTCAGTCACAATGTTTTAGTGATGTTTCTAGGAGATCTGATGAATGGGAAGACCAAGGTGATACTCTCTGCTGAGTCAGCTGAACATGGAGCCTAAACATACTTCATTTGAGCTGTAGCTGCTAAAATGGAAATCCTTATGGATGCTTTTGGGGGCTGGCATTCAGTGTGAGCCCCAGAGCACTGGCTGCGTTTTGTACATCGCTGGGAGATGGTTGCTGCCTGACAAAGCTCAGCCTGCACTGGAAGTTAAGGTAAAGCTCCTTCAGGGAGATAGCTCTTGTTGTTTGAAACTGAGCCAAGCCAACACCTTCCTAATCACCTATGCCTCTTGTATCACATCCTGAACCTTTCCTGCTTCAGTCAGTGACCTCTATATACCCTGCCTACGGGAAAAGAGTCTTAAGACTTCACTCCCATTCCCTCTATAGTCAAGACATGGCTTCTTCCTGGAGCTGTGAGTGCCATTCTCATCTCTAAATCTTCTCAGAAGCAGATGCAGAGTCCAAAATATCTAATCGAAGGCTGGTATTGTTTTTGTTCTCCCTGTCGTTTTTCATGTATTCATATACATGTGCATGCACAAACACCACAATGTCTTGGTTTAGACAGACTTAGTCCATAGTCCATAGCTGAACATAGTTGAATACCAAATAGGTGTATGAACTAAAATTAAACACTCCCTGCTAACACATCACACACCTACACAACTAAAAGCTAATGGCATAATGCTTGCTAATGCTAATTATCATAATAGCCAGCTTTATAGTTCCTGTTCTGCAGTCATGGTAGTGGCCTTCTGAAGCAGACTTTGGTGTACAGAACCAGCCCATCCCTAGAGGCTGACGTGGAAAGCCACGTCTCTAATACGTAAAGATGCACAAAACCAAACTACAGCATGAACCCAAAACAACCACAAAATCATTCTTCTGTTTATAATTAAAGTGAGAAATCCATCTGGGGACTGTTGGAAATGACAGCAGTTCCAGCTGGTCAGCCATGGGCTGCAGCAGTTTGGTCCAGGTTATTGAATCCATACATTAGTGTGTAGCACCA